GTCCAGAGCACCACCCTGGTGCAACATATTTGTAATATAGTAAAAAAAAAAAATCAAATCAGATTAGTCTGACATGACCTGCCGTCAGTAAAGCCATGCTACTTTGGATCTAGCAGGTTTGTTTTAAAGTGATCAATGATCCTTCTTTTCAAGAGCAATTTCATTAACTTGACTACAACCGATGTTAAACTCACTGGCCTGTAATTACTCGTTTCTATCTTGCTGCCCTTTTTGTGGATAGGTACAATATTAGCTGTCTGCCAGTCATAGGCAATTTCTCCTGTTATAAGAGATTGATAAAAAAAAGATCAGTTAATGGTCCAAAAACTATACCTTGAAGTTCTCTTAGAACTCTGGGATGAATACCATCAGGTCCCATTGCTTTATTAATATTTAACCGAGTCAGTTCCTCTGCTACCTCTGTCCCTGAAAATTCAAAAAAAATGAACCATTACTAGACCCAGTATAATTTCCCAACTTATTATTGTTAGTAAATTTTATTTCTAAGAAGACTGAACGAAAGTAATTGTTTAAGTGGTTTGCTACATACAGGTCTCACTCAACAGTGAGTGTTGTGCCCAGTTTTCATTTTCGTGATTCTATAGTATTTTTTTTTTTTCTATCACTAATGCACCTAAAAAAGGATTTGTCTCCTTTCTTAATAGATTTAGCAATTTCCTCTTTCAGTGCTTTGGAAGCGCTGATAATGTGTTTAGCCTCCTTTGTCTATTCTTATACTCTTCTCTGTCAGATACACCTCCTGTTTCCTTGAATCTCCTATATGCTGATTTTTTTTCTTTACTTTTTCTTCCGTTTATTTTTACTAACTTGCCTGACATATAATCTAGTTGCCTCCAGGATGGTCGACTTTAACAGTGCCCACTGATTACTTACTCCTGTTTTACTCCACCCTTTCAATTCATTTTTTAGAAATTCTCCCATTTTAGCAAAATTCGTCCTTTTGAAATCTAAAACTTTTGTTTTAATATATAAGTTTTCAGTTCTTATTTAAATATCAAACCAAAGACATTGGTGATCACTAGAACCCACATTTTCTCCCACCTCAACATCAGATTCATTTTGAACTTCAAGTTTCAGTTTGAGCTACTCAGCTCTGTAAACAAAAGGCTTTTTGCAGCAGGTGATAAGGAGAGAAATAAATATGTGAAAAGGATATTTAGCTCTACCTTCTGGCTAACAATAAAAATACAAAATATTAATAAGCAATTTTTATTTGCCATGCTCAAAAAAGAAAAGTTTTAATGATTTTGTAGTACTAAATATGTAAAGAAAATTTATGCTAAACCACTTCATTTTGCTTTTAAAATTATTTTTGCCTCTGGTTATTTGTTATATGAAGTTAGTTTTTATAAACGATTTTGCTAATAAAAAGTAAGTAAATTATGTAAGTATAACAGTGGCAGGGCTTTGGCTATTTAACATGCATACATAACACAGATTTTGTATACGTATTATAACAGAAGGACTTACCTGATGTGTCTTGCAGTGTATTAAAGCTGACCATGCATCTACTTGTAGATTTTAATTTTGCACAAATATACTGGGAGAGAGTAAAAATGTTTTATTAATAAGTATTAGAATTCTAAGGTATTCAGCCACCAGATAGTCAGCTACTTTGTCACTCATTTTAGCTGTATGTAAGAGGGCCAAGTGATGTGTCAATATTAGAGACCTGTACTTGCAAGAAATCCAACCATTCTGTTCAAAGTAAAACACTTGGCTGTTGCATTAGTGAGGAAGAATTCTCTAATGTTGACAGGTCAGACAGCTCCTTTTACTGTGGCATACAGCTAAAATTATGATCTCAGTAAATATAGTTATGGTTCCAGTAAAGCTAGCATGTCATTCTCATCCATTTTCTGTGCAGCCTGGGACCAACAATAGATTATAGTGGATTTTATTGAAAGGTGTTTTTTTTAAAGGGGATGTCTAGTGGTTTTGTACATATTTTCTTTTTAACAGTGATAACGGAAAAATAACATTAGTAAAAACTTTTTAATATTTTTTTTTCAGTCGGGCAAATATGAAACATTGGAATGGAATGTTCTGTTAAGCCAGCACGTGAAGCTCTGGTCTCTTTTTCACATGTGAAGTATTGTATCACTCTTAGCCATGTCGAAAGAAGACACAACATATTAAAGCGGAGTTCCACTCACACTGTCAAAAAATAAAAATCAGCGGCTACAAAAACTGTAGCTGCTGACTTTTAAAATACAGCCACTCACCTGTTCCACGATCCCGCCGTGCCCCCGCCGCCCCCGTTTTACCAGCCATTCTGTATTCCAGGTGCCAGCATCTTCAGTGTGGGCACTAGGCTGTGAGCTTGCGGCTTCACAGCCGGGTGCACACTGCGCATGCGCGAGTAGCGCTTTGCTTCTTGAATGGCCCCGTCATCTTCTGGGACCTGTCACGTATCCCAAAAGACTACAGAGAGGGAGGGTAGGAGGACAACTCTCCTTGCCATTGCCTAGGCGATCGCAGTGGAAGAAGGAGCAGGTACTGTCATTTTTGGGTACCCACTCCCCCCCCCCACTCTCCAAAGGTGCCAATCCTGAATGGGGAGTGGGGGACCAATCTTTAAAGTGGAACTTCACCTTTTGGGTGGAACTCCGCTTTAAGTTATAACAGAGGTGATGCATTCCTTATCAGGAATCTTAGTGCGACGTTAACAAGCCAACAAAAGGCACTACAAAGCTAGATTCAGCTGATGATTCTCTTTAGTTAACCAACAGTGCTTTGGGTATTCTTTGTCACTGAAATGAAATATGTATTGCACCTGACACATGTATTCATAACTTACAAACTCTCCAAACAAGTCTTACCATAGACAACAGTACATAGGAACAAAAAAAAATTAATATCTTCCGAAGAGTTATACCAGATACGTCACTGCACAATACTCGGCATCGGCAGACTGTTTTTATTCCAATTCCTACTGCATGATCCATAACCTAACTCTTAAAATCTAATGCCAGACATATCATTGTTTTTAGTTTTGGATAGAGTGAGGAATTGTTACATTTTCTGTGAGGTTTTTATTTCTGGCTGTAATTCCTTGTTACATTCCTTGTATTTCTGGTGCTACCACCATAGGGATGTAGATGGCAATACAAGTCTAGGATTCGGATCCTTCCCCACTCTGTCCAAAATGAAATGCAAAGTTTTGGTTGGATTGGAGTAAATACATAACCTAAACCTAAGATTTTAAAGGGTGTTTATAAAAAAAATGCTTTATGACTGGCACAGGATTCACACAGCTGTCATGAATAATCACAGTAATTTCTGATATGCTTATTTCCTATGATCATCAGCTCCATCTAGTGGCTATAATGTGGAATTTTCCTGATCCAGGTATTTCAGAAAAATACAGCATTGTGGCCACTAGATGGAGCTGACAATTACAGGAAATAACCGTATTATGGGGATTATTTTCAATGGGTGGGTGAATGCTGTAACATTTGAACAGAAATTGTTTTTTATAGATAGAGATTTAAGTGTAACTATGGGCAAAATAGAACACTGCATATATGATGCTGTCAATCTTTAGCATTAGTGATCGGGAAATGTGCTTGATTTTAAATCACAGAACATTTGGCAAACTCAGAAAATTTGCTAATTGCAAACATTAATTTGAATTCAAGTCAATTATACTGTAGGTATATCTTGAAAATCAGTTCTGACTATTTTAGTCTAATTGGCAATGGATTGTCAAACAAAGGACATGGGTACCTGAGCACTGGCTGGGGGACATGTAATTTTTTGAAGCACCATTCAGCGAGCAGCAGTTTTAAAACATTAAAAATGCAAAATTCCTTTAACATGCTTGGAGGGTAAACTGCTTGTGAAGTGCCGCACCTGTAGAATGTACTGAAATAATGACATTTCAAAAGAAAAAAAAATTGCACTTTCTTGAAAATTGTATTACATGCTTGTGTGCTTTTGGATGTATAGTATAGTTTCCCTTTTTAAATATCTTATTCACCTTTTATTTATTATTAAGCAAGTTCTAAAATGTTATATTATGCTTTTTGCCAGAAGTGGCTATATTTTAAACTACCAAAGCTCTTTCTTTAGTAACAGTTATCCTGAACATATTTTAAAGGTATGGCCTATGGTGTTTATTTTAAGACATTCCTTCTACAGTATATGGCCGTTTCTCTACTGCAATTAAAGGAGTGCATAGATTAATTGATGTCAAGCAAGGAAAAGAACAGTCTAAGGCTAATCAGTAGCTTAAAGTGGTTGTAAACCTCTGAAATGAAAAATGAACAAAGCATATCCCTCTTTAATATATATCTGCCTCAATCCAAAGCACCTAGTGTGGTTCTCTTGTGGTTCCCTCCCTCTGCTATCTGCAAGAGTTACTTCTGACAGTCCAGAAATAAGATATACTTGTGCTCAAATTTAAATAGCTTATACATATACACATTATTTCCAAAAGTATTGGGATGCCTGCCTTTACACGCACATGAACTTTAATGGCATCCCAGTCTTAGTCCATAGGGTTCAATGCTGAGTTGGCCCACCCTTTGCAGCTACAACAGCTTCAACTCTTCTGGGAAGGCTGTCCACAAAGTTTAGGAGTGTGTCTATGGGAATGTTTGACCATTTTTCCAGAAGCGCATTTGTAAGGTTAGGCACTGATGTCAGATGAGAAGGCCTGGCTCGCAGTCTTCACTCTAATTCATCCCAAAGGTGTTCTGTCGGGATGAGGTCAGGACTCTGTGCAGGCCAGTAAAGTTCGTTCATCCCAAACTCGCTCATCTATGTCTTTATGGACATTGCTTTGCGCACTGGTGCTCAGTCATGTTGGAACAGGAAGGGGCCATCCCCAAACTGTTCCCACAAAGTTGGGAGCATGAAACAGTCCAAAATGTCTTGGTATGCTGACACCTTAAAAGTTCCCTTCACTGGAACTAAGGGGCTAAGCCCAACCCCTGAAAAACAACCCCACACCATAATCCCCCCTCCACCAAACTTTACACATGGCAAAATGCAGTCAGGCAAGTACTTTTAATCTGGCAACCACTAAACCCAGACACATCCATCGGATTGCCAGACAGAGAAGTTTGATTTGTCACACCAGAGAATACGTCTCCACTGCTCTAGGGTCCAGTGCTTTACACCACTGCATCTGACACTTTGCATTGCACTTGGTGAGGTAAGGCTTGGATGCAGTTGTTTGGCCATGGAAACACATTCTATGAAGCTCTCTGCGCACTGTTGTTGTGCTAATCTGATGGCCACATGAAGTTTGGAGGTCTTTAGCTATTGACTCTGCAGACAGTTGGCAACTTCTGCGCACTGTGCACTACAGCATGCACTGACCCCGCTATGTCATTTTACATGAGTTGCTGTTGTTCCCAGTTGCTTCCATTTTGTTATAATACCACTAACAGTTGACTGTGGAAGTTTTAGTAGCCAGGAAATTTCACAGATGGACTTATTGCTCAGGTGGCAACCTATCACAGTACAACGTTTGAATTCACTGAGCTCCCGAGAGCGATCCATTCTTTCACAAATATTTGTAGAAGCAGTCTGCATGCCTAGGTGCTTTATTTTATATACCCGTGGCCATGGAGGTGATTGGAACACCTGAATCCAATGATTTGGAGGGGTGTCCCAATACATTTGGCAATGTAGTGTATATAACCCATCAGGTGCTAAAGGGGTGTGACTATATGTTAACAATAAAAATTTTAAATGAACCCTCTGCACACTGCTCTACACATTTTCTAGCAAACTTTGCACAAAAAGAGGGATTTTTTTTGTTCACATGCATTGTAATACATGTTTAAGATGGCCAATTGCATCAAAGTAATCCCTCACTGGCCAGTCCCTACTCTGCTCTGCAAAATGTAAGTGTTCCAGGGGAAGAGTGCCAACATGGAATACATAGATACACATTGTATGTCAGCAATATGTTCAGGTCTGGTCACAGACCTGCACTTCAATAGAAATAAAATATACCTGTGCTCAAATTCAAATAGCTTATGCATATATACAACCAATCAGGTGATAAAGGGCTGTGACCACCTCCTAACACTAAAAATTCACAATTAGATCAAGCAGCTGAAATGGTGGGGAAATTGTATGCTTGGTAAGACAAATTCTGCTTGAACAAGTTTTATTATGTCTAGTTCTTTGTGCTAATGTACATACATTATACTAAGTGATGATGTAATAAAGAAGTGCATATGAAGTTACGCAACTCTTAACTGCACCTGTTAAATCCACCGTAGGCAGTATGAATAAAAGGTGAGAAGACAAGCTAAAACACATATGTATATTTAGAAGTTAAAATAATAATTCAACAAAAGTGCATAGGGAAGGAAGACTGTGTTCTTTGGTTCTTTAATTAATCAAGTTTTATTGTTTTAAAGAGCCAGTCCTATGTTCTTCTATAATGTTTATGCATTTTTATAGCAATAATAAAGGTTAAAGTGGAACTTCACTCTCTCAATCAACATTGACTATTTTAATCTAAACTAACTTAAACTATGCTGCTAGCATTAGTAAATAGATAGGAATGTATATCATAATTACTTATTTTTAATTTTTTTTTATATTTCTTCAGTCACTTCCTGGTTTCTATGTCTAGGCAAATGATGTCACACATCCAGGGAGCATTCAGGAAGAAAGGGAGGGTTCTCAGCTCAGCCAATGCCTGAGCTAAGGGCAGATGGATTCCAGGAAGTAAATGCTGCATGAATCATCTGCCCTTACTCAAGATGGCCACTGCCAGAAATACCAAGAGGTGTTTTTTTTAAAATTATTTCTCAGCAAAATAAAGCATGGAGACATAGATGAAAGGGTGAGTTTGCTTTGAATATTTAAAAAGAATAAATAGCATTTTTGGTTTGTAGTGCTCAGATGCAGTGCAGTTCCACTTTAAGAATAGTGAAGTGTGTGACAGGCTCTGTTGTAATTAAGGGAAATTTTAAATGAAGAAATATGGAGGTTGTTACTGTTGACCTCCACTTTTGAAAATGCATGTTCACCTGCAGCTGCTCTGCTGTTCCAAAGTCATTTTCCATAGTGATTGACCAGGAACAAGTATGCAGGTCAGGAATTTTGGCTTTCCTGTCCAGAGCTCCAACTCCAGGTTAAAGGCTTTTCCTATGTTTACCCCACTGGCCAGTGACCTCTCTCTCTCTCTCTTTGCTTAATGCATTCCAGCGGAATCATTCACAGGCAGCTATTGGAATTGAAGACTGTCACTACTACTTGCTGTGTCTTTGTATAGTTTTGTGTCTGATAATGGGCTAAACCTGTTTAACCAGTTCCTTCCCCACAGGGCTTATTGCTATTTCTATAAAACCCATTTATCATTATTTGGTGAGATGGTGTATTGTCGGGTCCAGTTTAAGGGCAGGACATGACTGGGGAAGGGCTGGAAAACCCAAACATCTCATTAGCTTCTAAAAGTGATATCTGTATTTCTCTCAGTATAAGTTTACTTGGGTTCTGGGTGCAGGGACAGCAGCTGTTTTCCCCAGGCTGGTTTTAAAATGGCACCCAAACTCAACAGCTCCTGTGGGTCTCCACTGACACTAGCACTGAAACCACTGTTAGTAGTCGACAGCCAGGGTCCAGAACTAAGTCCAGTAGCTGAAATTATCAGCTCCTCAGCTTCCAATCTTGCTACACAGCACTACATAGGAGCCAACCACTTCTGCATTGTGTTTACACTGGAATGCATTAAAGAATACATTTACCTGTGTCAGTTATGGGGAAAGGTTGCCACCATCCCTTTTGCATTATACTGAAACCTTGTTGTTTTTTCTGCCTTTTTATGGGACTTTGAGGGCAACCATAAGTGAACAAAAATAAATCAGTTAGATAAAAGAAGTTTCATTGTATGACAGACATTTAAAATATGCTGCAAAGGGGCTAATAATCCATACATCTTAAAATCACATATTAGGTTACAAGTTGTCAGGGCTCCAGGTATGACCAGAGGTGTGTGGACTGACACAGGGAAACGCAGGCTTCAGATATGGTATAAACAATATAATTTTTAAGACTAACAATACAAAAACGCAGTGCAAAACTAAACATAAACACAGTGCAAACAAACCAAACCAAACCACCCACGGATAACAATACATACAATACAAAGAGTAGTCAGGCAGACCGGGTCAGTAGCAAACGGGCAAACGAAGTACCAGAGGGTCGGGCAGAGAATGGTCAGGGTCACAAGCCAGGGATCAAGCAGGAGAAGTCAGCAGAGGTCAGGATCAGGCAGGGTCGGCAACAAGTCAGACAGGAACAGGAATACAGGATACAAGGTACAGGGGCCCATGGAAAAACACACACCAAGGCCCTGACTGTGAGTCTGGCCATTCCTTACATACAACACCTGCAATCAGCTTCAGGTGTTTGGCTGATTGCAGGGGTGAGTCTCTGATTGCTGACAGCACCCGCTGGCCAGCCTTGGTACTGCAGCCCACAAGGCAGGTGAGTCTCACCATTATTGGCGAGAGTCCATTCCTGACACAAGTTCTATTGCCAGACTGTCTTTCTGAACAAGTGGTGGTATAGCCAGTTAGGATTCCACTGGTTTGTTGGAATTTCTACAGTTACTCCATCTACTGGAATATCCAGTGTTTCAAATTATTAATACAACAAATTCTTCATCAGGGAAGATGTACCACACTATGACAAAACATAACAAAATATTACAAATCATAAAAGCAAAAAAAGACGGCAAACCATATCATTTTACCAAATCATATACACATGAAAGTGTATGTCAGCACCTGTGGTAGTGAGCTCTCTGATCCACAACTTGGGGTTCCTCAGGGCGCGGAGTCTACGCCCAAGTCTGCTTGTTCACCAGGGCCCCTGATGGTGGGGATGGACTTGGAGCAGGCTGGGATCAGGTCGCAGCCCCCAGGTACACCCAGCTGAGGTAGAGGAGAACGCTAGCGGGAGCAGGGTACAACGGGAAATCCAGTAGGCAAGCCGAGGTAAGGACAGGCGGCAAACAAGCAAGGTCAGGAACGAAGCCGGAGTCAGTACACAGAAAGACTATATAAAATTCACAGGAGAACACGTGGGAGCTCCGACAACAGACGTTGCTCAGGCAAAGTGAGACAGACTGAGCATGTTTTAAATAGACAAACCAGCTACAAGGTGGGCCAGGTAGTGATGGAAGGAAAGGACATAAAGCTAGAGGATAGCAGATGACGCCCACAGGTGAGCACAGACAACACACATGTGAAGGAAACAGGGAACAGCAAGGAGGTAAGACTAAACGAACAAGAGGCTGCAGGCAAACTTGTGACAGTACCCCCCCCCTTCCTTACGAGGTCTCCCCAATTTTTTAGGGCCAGGCTTAAGGGGAAACTTCCGATGAAAAAATTCCACCAGACGGGGAGCAGAAACATCAGTAGAAGAAATCCAACACCTCTCCTCAGGACCATATCCCTTCTAGTCAATAAGATGCAAGAGCTTCTCTCTGATGAACTTAGAATCCAAGATTTGCTTGACTTCATACTGATCCGAAGTACTCGCTATTGGGAAAGGATGACGATGAGGACGGGAAAACTTGTTGATAATATACGGTCTCAGAAAGAAAACATGGAAAACATTAGGAATTCTCAGATGTGAAGGGAGGCGAAGTTTGAAAGCAACAGGATTGAGCTAGCAGAGGATGGTAAACGGACCAATGAAGCGAGGAGCAAATTTCATAGAGGGTACTCGTAGACAGATATTCTTGGTAGAGAGCCAAGCCTTATCACCAGGGAGAAATTTGGGACTTACGCGGCGATGGCGATCCGCAGCCGTTTTGTACTTGGAAGATGCCAGATGTAAATTCTTGGAAACCTCTGCCCAGATGGAATTGAATGATCGTTGTTTATCTGCAGCTGCGGGTACCAAAGAGGAGATAGGAACAGGAAATGGCACCGAAGGATGATGACCATACACCTTGAAAAAGGGGGACTCACCATTACTGGCATTGGCATGGTTATTAAGGGCAAACTCTGCCCATGGTAGAAGGTCTACCCAATCATCCTGATGGGCCAAAATGAAGGCACGAATATAGCGTTCCACGTTCTGGTTGACCCTTTCAGTTTGGCCATTAGACTGCGAATGAAAGGCTGAAGAGAAGTCCAACTCAACACCGAAGGACGTGGCTAGAGCCCTCCAGAAGCAAGCTGTAAATTGAACCCCTCTATCGGAAATTATGTGAGAAGGCATACCGTGAAGACGGAAGATTTCCTTAATGAAGGTGGAGGCCAACGTGACGGCCGAAGGAAGTCCTGGAAGTGGAGTTAGGTGGCACATTTTAGAAAACCTGTCCACAACCACCCAGATAACAGTGGAACCAGCTGAAGGGGGTAGTTCGGAAATAAAGTCCATGGAAATGCAACGCCAAGGTTCATCTGGACATGGTAGAGGTGAAAGGAGACCTGCTGGAGCAGACGTGGAGGACTTCGATTGCACACAGATGGAGCAAGCCTGGACATATTCTTCAACATCCTTCCACAGTGACGGCCACCAGTAATGACACTGCAGGTGTGTTGTGCCCCAGGATGTCCAGA